TCTCCAATGGATGCTCTGGCTCTGAACCTATCGACTACAACTTCAAAACCTTACCAACAACTCCAAACCCATCTCATAAAATCTACAATTTCCCTCTGCAATTCCCGAATTTACTGTCTCTGTTACAAGAGAAGCCTATCATCTACAATAATCACTTGTAAGTTCAAAACCACCAAACAAAATAGGGAGAGCAAGAGCAAGAGCGTTGCCAAGAAGATTGTGGTCTCTGACGTCCCGCCTCCGCTGTCTGAGGACGGTGGTGTGGCCAGAAATGGAGGAGCGCCGCCGAGTCCTGACCGGAATAATACTGCCGGAGGATTGACATTGAAGTTGTTGAAGAAGTTGCAAAGAAGGGTTTTGGGGGTTTTGTCTAATTTGCCCTTGGCTATTGGAGAAATGGCCTCAATTGCTGCTTTAATGGCCCTGGGTATGCCTGCTTCTCTCCCTGTAATTCTCTTTATGTATATGTTTGTGTGTTAATATAAGTATATCTTTCTTAATTATTTTTGTGGATAATTATGTAAATATGTGTTTGAGCTTGTGCATATCTGCGTCCTACTATTGTTTTTACGTTTTTGCTATTGCTAGATTGTGAATTGGCTGTAAAACGAACCAAATTATTTGAGCTTGTCTAGTGTTTAGTTTGTTAAAAACTCATCCTAAATTTATTCGACATGTAAACATGCAAATTTGAAAACATTTTGAAACTCGTTATTTTTCTTAGTTCAACTCGACTTCAGCCCAATAAACATATATTAGTTATAAAAAAATTAAATCGGCTCGATTAAAACTCATTTGACATAGGCTCTTATGATAAACAAGTTTAAGTTTAAACTTGAACATATTCTGAAACTCATTGAGTTTTCAAGTCAAATTTGAACAATCTATTACATGACTCGACTCAACTCGTTTACAACCTAAGCTGAAGTGCAATTTATTCATTTTTTAAGATCATGTACATACACCCACTAGTTACTTCATTACACATTAGTTTGTCTGACAAATAAAAAGTTGGTCTTATGGCATCTACTAGCTTCATTTGCATTCATTCCTAATCTATCATGCTTAGGGTTTGCATTGAGGATATATAAACACGTTCACATATTTCTAAGAGTAAGCTTTTTGGACAATTAGTGTCTAACAAATATTGCATCTTACTGTCTACTTGATAATTATACTACTTGCACGTGTTTGGTCCATTTATGTTGGAGATTTTGGCCACGTATGAGTGGACATGTTGAGGATATAATTAAACTTATGGTGGAAATCTTGGCCACTTTTAAAGGCCATGTTGAAAATATAGATGTTTAAGTTAGTTATCACTTGCAAGCGTTGAGGATGTAAATTAATTACACTTTAGCATCTCCAAGGGACTCTTTAAATGAGGCTTGGTAGCTGTTATAGCTAGCATCAGCATATTTTAGTCACTTCAACGGGCTAATTATTGCGATAGCTATTTTAACAAAATTCTTCAAGGTTAGCTACATTTGACAAACCTTGGGAGGCTCTTTAGACAGTTTGTGTGTATAGATAGATAAAATAAAGAGTGGTGCTGGAGTACATAGATAAAAAAAGAATTAGGCAAAGTAAAAAATATACTTTTTTTTATAAATATTTATGTAATGAAAAATGAGGAGTATGGTTGGAATTGCTCTAACAACTTCAAATTTTTATATCAGATGGTTGTTAACAATTGGGATCCATGATAGCTTCAATCAGATTTGTTTCCAAACTACATGTATCAGCATCAAGTTTTCTAGATTAGGTTTGAAACAAATGTAAATTTCATGAATAAGTAAATGATTCAAGTTCATGGATTTTAAGTTGTGATGGTTTAGTGAGTTCAAATAGCTGGAATCAGTAGTGCAATTTTCGGCTTTGCAACTAAGAAGTCACTGGTTATCCGAACGACGCTGCGAAAAAAAAAAAAAATTAAACTCACATTTCCTTCGCTCTGCTTCACATGAATACTTATTTGCTGATTTTCAGAAGACAAATCCTCCATCACAAATAAGTAATGAAGAATGAGGAAGGAAGAATGAGGAAGACAACTTGTGGAAGGAGTGTCATTTCTCAGTAAAATTGAAATTCATTTGTATATGAGTTTTTTTGTTTTTGTGTGTGTGTTGTATGGTAGTTTGTAATGAGATATCATTTGTGTTGTAGGAACGAGGGCCCCTAAAGTGTCATAATCACTCTTCCAAGATCCTTGCATGGCCATGGTGGTTAGTAGAGAACAACACCAGATTCAAAGCCATTATTGAGCAGTCTGGACTGTCACAGTTAGCTCGTTGCACTTATCGGTTCGTCAACAAGCTTCTAGTCTCATGTTTTGTTGAGAGATGGCAACCTGAGACGAACACATTTCACATGACAGTTGGTGAGATGACCTTGACCCTGGATGATGTTCTTGAAGGTCAGCACATTGACGAAGCTGGACCTAGTTCTGCTGGACCTAGTTCTGCTGGACCTAGTTCTGCTGGACCTAGTTCTGCTGGACCTAGTTCTGCTGGACCTAGTTCTGCTGGACCTAGTTCTGCTGGACCTAGTTCTGCTGGACCTAGTTCTGCTGGACCTAGTTCTGCTGGACCTAGTTCTGCTGGACCTAGTTCTGCTGGACCTAGTTCTGCTGGACCTAGTTCTGCTGGACCTAGTTCTGCTGGACCTAGTTCTGCTGGACCTAGTTCTGCTGGACCTAGTTCTGCTGGACCTAGTTCTGCTGGACCTAGTTCTGCTGGACCTAGTTCTGCTGGACCTAGTTCTGCTGGACCTAGTTCTGCTGGACCTAGTTCTGCTGGACCTAGTTCTGAGCACATTGACGAAGCTGGACCTAGTTCTGCTGGACCTAGTTCTGCTGGAGGTCGCTTTCCATCTTCGACGTTGACATACAGTCGTAGGCCTCAGCGTAGGCGTATAGCTGATTCGTGACATGTTATGTTGTTACATGTTATTTTGTTAGTTGATGAATATTGTTTGGTGTTTTTTGTAAGATGACATTGTTGTAATGGTAACAGTGGTTAATATTTTCTTATTAGAATGGAATGACAACAATGGTATTGTAATGACCTTTTATTATTAGAATGAAATGGTAACAATGGTCGTTGATTTTGTAAATGATATTTTGTTATTACAATGGAATGGTAACCATGGTCGATAACATTCAATCCACATTGCAAAACATAACACATCAACATAAAAAACACATTCATTAATTTCTTCCATAATTGTAACATTGTCAAATGCACATATGTGTCATGCGACATCAACAACATCAAAAGTCTCTCGAGTAGCTACATTATCATGAATAATGTCCTTGAAATGTTGAATGCGACGCACATATGCATCATCCCAGTCCACAGCGCACGGGTGACGGTATTTTCTCCAATTAGTGGCAATAGGAGGAACTGGATGGCCTGGCTGCAACAAAACCTGCACCAAATATCAATTGACTTAGTGGTCATACCTCATAACTTCTTGTACATGCATAAACACAATTGATAAGTTTCTGTTATACCTGCACGAAATGATTTCCGTTGACAAACCCAATGGCAATCTCACGTCTATCAAGTTGAGGTACTGGCACGGTTCTAAGAGGTAAAAAGGTGAGACATTGCTGTAAAGACAAGTGGTATAACACAAGATTGTAGCACGATGCAACAAGATGGCCCATGTCTGGCATAGTCATCCAATGTGAGTATCCAGGACTGTCTTCAAAGTATGACAATATGCTTGTCAATTCTTCAAACCTTTCATAGGACTCATAAAGTGTAATGTATTCCTCTTTGTGTGTGTGCAGCTCACCCAATAGGTCACGCCTAACCTGAGTCCAATCATCTTCTGTATGACCAATTGAAGCAGCTATAGCCCTGAAACCACAATTCCCATCTGCAGCTACATCCTTGACAAACTTAATATATGGTTTTAACCCAGTAGGGAAAGCATCAACATATGCACCAGGTTTCACTGTTCTAGTAATGTATGCCTTCCCTTTCGGGTTCACCTTCTCCTTTCCCTTAACAGGTCGCTTCGTTTTGGTTTGCAGAGTAGAAGCTAATGTAGTGATTTGAGTGTCCCTAGGTGAGAAGGAATCATGTCCAGATTGCACTAACTCAAATGCACACGGGTCACGACGGGTAGAAACATTGATCTTCTTATGATCCCGAGGACGTGTTTTGGGTTTCACCTCCGGCTCAACAAGAAAAATGCTTTTCGGATATACAATCTCTTTCAACTTCTTCAAAAGCTTCAATCGCATGGTTCTATCACTTTCATTAAACTTGTTGACAAACAACTCTACTTCTGCATGACAAGTCACCTCTGTTTCCTCTTCTTTCTTGCATATAGAGATATGAAGTTGCCTCCACTGTGACTGTATGGTAGCAAGTGGTATAGGACGATCTTGTCTGATGTAGTCAGCAATCTCATGGGCGCAAGGTAAACCATGAGTGTGGCGAAGGACGCATCCACAAGCTTCAACATTAATACCAATGGAATTGGCTCTCTTACTCTCGACAAGCAAATACTCCAATGCAGAGATAGACACATTCCCCCGTAGCTCCCTGAATTGAGAAGGTTTAAATTGATGTTGCACAACAGTTAGACTTTTCTCAAATGAAGCCTTGATATCAGTGTGTTGCAACTCAAGTAGACTGTGTATTTTCTCAAATGATGCCTGAAATGAGACTTGACATGAACCCAATTGTCTTTTAAGTTTTGCATGTGCACTCTCAGCCCTGTTCAATTCAATGTAAGTCAAGTTAAAATCAAGTACATGGCAGTTATTAATAACATATTCAACAAAAGTAATGTTACCGGTTCGTTGTAACATTGCCACAATGCATACACGTGTCTGTCCATGCCGCCACAAATTTGTCCTTGTAAGGAACCAACCAAGTATCCATGACATATTTGACTGCATCAGGATAACTACTGAATTCCTTAAGTAATGATTTAAGACGCTCCTCGTATTGAATTTCAGAAGATGAATACACTACAGAGTTCTACTCATGGTTGAACTTCTCCCATTTTTGCTGTGTCTCAAACATTTTCTTGCATTTGGTCAACACATTCTTACTGATATGCCAACGACATAATAAATGTCTGGCACTCGGGAATATCTTCTGTATGGCATTCATCAAGGCTAGCTCTCTATCAGTAACAATAACTATTGGCACAACAAACCCATCCATGACATCACGTAATGTGGCTAACACCCACGCATAATTATCGACCCTCTCATACTGTAAGTATGCAAAAGCTACAGAGAATGTCATTTCAGTTGATGTCACTTCCACAATTTCAAGAAGAGGAAGTCGATATCTGTTGGTTTTATATGTGCAATCCATAATTAATATACGTGTGAAAGACCGAAATAAGTCCAAACTGGTAGGATGTGCCCAAAACAAGTCTGTCACAGTCATCGTGGACTCTTCAGACCGATGGCGCTCAATGTAATTATACTTGGCCAATTCACCCAATAAGTGTTGCATCTGTGATCTTCCAGCTCTCTGTACCACCCTGTTTCGATGGCGTACATTGTAAATGGTTTTAAGTGTGCTTACATTGAGGGCATCTCGCTGTTTCAAGGTTACTAGGATTTCTTTTGGCCGAACCATGCTCTTTGACATATCCATTAACAATGCTTTCTCATCCTTTGATAGCCTCCCCGCATATGAATGTCCCTCGAGGTGCTCCGCAGGTGGATGATTATGCAATCCGCATACTGCAGTCAATGTCCATTCATCATATGTGGTAAACCTGTGAGCCCTCATATCAAAAGGACAACCACACTTCTTCGTACCGGTTATTCTTGATGTATTGTTGCCATCATGTTTTAACTTATTTGTTGCTTTATATTGGCTACTCCTCTCACAAGCAAGATACATCCTGGGTCTTTTTTTCCCTCCACCATAGTCTGATGTTTTGATTACAATGACCAAACTATTTCTCTTTCCAACTTCACGTACCCAGTTGAGCAATTCATCCTTACTTTTGAATACCTACAAAGTTAAATAAATATTATCAAACATTTACATTTGGTGAGCAATTCAAAACATAATCGTTATAATTTCGTAGACTGAACCTGTTCAGTTGTGAAATGAGTGGTGTAATCTAACACAAAATTCGCGCAAACCTGACTTCCTTGAGTTGACACATATTTCTGCATGTTTTGTATAACATTACAAATTTTTAATGGCATTATAAAGATTAATTTGCAATTTCAAACTGTAAATTTGGTATGCAATTTGCAAATTTGGAATATAAAATGGAAAAAAAAAAAAATTTACTTCATTCGGAAGTAGTTGTCCGAATTTTTTTTCAAATTTCGGAAGTTGAATGTTGTATAAGTTAACATTTTTCGGACAACAACTTCCGAATTTATATACATTTTCCGGACAACAACTTCCGAAATTTATCACTTTATTCGGACATCAACTTCCGAAAATACATAATTATTTCGATAGTACATTTCCGAACAAAATAACAAAATTCGGCTCTGGTTATTCGAACGACGCTGCGAAAAAAAAAAAAAATAAACTCACATTTCCTTCGCTCTGCTTCACATGAATACTTATTTGCTGATTTTCAGAAGACAAATCCTCCATCACAATGATATTTTTCCCACAGAAATGCCACAGCCCTTTGTAAAAAATGAAAACCCTACAGAAATGCCAAAGCAATTTTCAAAGAAGCATGCCAAACCAGTGCTCCTACACACACAATGCAACAATGTCAAGGTGTGCATTGAGATGTTTTCAATTAACAATGGTGTCTAAAATGGTAATTTCACTTAGGGATAAAATTGTAATAAAATTAAATATCATTAAGTGTGTGAATTGAGGGGATTAGGTGTGTGTATAGAAGCTCCCTCTATTATCTGACTGGAGAGGTTAGTGTGATTTCAAAAAATAAAGCGGGTGTCAGTGTTATTTCAAATATATAGAGGGAGTGCCACAATAATTTATCCTAAAATAAAAAAAAAAAATAAAAATATCTTATTCCTGGATAAACCAACTACCGGTACCAGCATCGTTAACAGAGAGAGGGAGAGAGGGAGTCAGAAATCTCCAATGGATACTCTGGCTCTGAACCTATCGACTACAACTTCAAAACCTTACCAACAACTCCAAACCCATCTCATAAAATCTACAATTTCCCTCGGCAATTCCCGAATTTACTGTCTCTGTTACAAGAGAAGCCTATCATCTACAATAATCACTTGTAAGTTCAAAACCACCAAACAAAATAGGGAGAGCAAGAGCAAGAGCGTTGCCAAGAAGATTGTGGTCTCTGACGTCCCGCCTCCGCTGTCTGAGGACGGTGGTGTGGCCAGAAATGGAGGAGCGCCGCCGAGTCCTGACCGGAATAATACTGCCGGAGGATTGACATTGAAGTTGTTGAAGAAGTTGCAAAGAAGGGTTTTGGGGGTTTTGTCTAATTTGCCCTTGGCTATTGGAGAAATGGCCTCAATTGCTGCTTTAATGGCCCTGGGTATGCCTGCTTCTCTCCCTGTAATTCTCTTTATGTATATGTTTGTGTGTTAATATAAGTATATCTTTCTTAATTATTTTTGTGGATAATTATGTAAATATGTGTTTGAGCTTGTGCATATCTGCGTCCTACTATTGTTTTTACGTTTTTGCTATTGCTAGATTGTGAATTGGCTGTAAAACGAACCAAATTATTTGAGCTTGTCTAGTGTTTAGTTTGTTAAAAACTCATCCTAAATTTATTACACATGTAAACAAGCAAATTTGAAAACATTTTGAAACTCGTTATTTTTCTTAGTTCAACTCGACTTCAGCCCAATAAACATATATTAGTTATAAAAAAATTAAATCGGCTCGATTAAAACTCATTTGACATAGGCTCTTATGATAAACAAGTTTAAGTTTAAACTTGAACATATTCTGAAACTCATTGAGTTTTCAAGTCAAATTTGAACAATCTATTACATGACTCGACTCAACTCGTTTACAATCTAAGCTGAAGTGCAATTTATTCATTTTTTAAGATCATGTACATACACCCACTAGTTACTTCATTACACATTAGTTTGTCTGACAAATAAAAAGTTGGTCTTATGGCATCTACTAGCTTCATTTGCATTCATTCCTAATCTATCATGCTTAGGGTTTGCATTGAGGATATATAAACACGTTCACATATTTCTAAGAGTAAGCTTTTTGGACAATTAGTGTCTAACAAATATTGAATCTTACTGTCTACTTGATAATTATAGGGCAAATTACATATACCTCCCTCGAGGTTTAGTTAAATTACAGATACCCCTGAGGTTTCGGAAATTACATCCCGCCCCCTGTGGTTTGTATTTTCATAACAATTTGCCCCCTGAGGTTTATATTTCATAACAAATTACCCCCTAATTTCTTATGCAAATATAGCATTCAGGGGGGAATTCGTAATTTCTCAAACCTCAGGGGGGTATCTGTAATTTAGCCAAACCTCGAGGGGGGTATATGTAATTTGCCCATAATTTTATATTACTTGCACGTGTTTGGTCCATTTATGTTGGAGATTTTGGCCACGTATGAGTGGACATGTTGAGGATATAATTAAACTTATGGTGGAAATCTTGGCCACTTTTAAAGGCCATGTTGAAAATATAGATGTTTAAGTTAGTTATCACTTGCAAGCGTTGAGGATGTAAATTAATTACACTTTAGCATCTCCAAGGGACTCTTTAAATGAGGCTTGGTAGCTGTTATAGCTAGCATCAGCATATTTTAGTCACTTCAACGGGCTAATTATTGCGATAGCTATTTTAACAAAATTCTTCAAGGTTAGCTACATTTGACAAACCTTGGGAGGCTCTTTAGACAGTTTGTGTGTATAGATAGATAAAATAAAGAGTGGTGCTGGAGTACATAGATAAAAAAAGAATTAGGCAAAGTAAAAAATATACTTTTTTTTATAAATATTTATGTAATGAAAAATGAGGAGTATGGTTGGAATTGCTCTAACAACTTCAAATTTTTATATCAGATGGTTGTTAACAATTGGGATCCATGATAGCTTCAATCAGATTTGTTTCCAAACTACATGTATCAGCATCAAGTTTTCTAGATTAGGTTTGAAACAAATGTAAATTTCATGAATAAGTAAATGATTCAAGTTCATGGATTTTAAGTTGTGATGGTTTAGTGAGTTCAAATAGCTGGAATCAGTAGTGCAATTTTCGGCTTTGCAACTAAGAAGTCATATTGAATTGGCAAACAAGGCTTGACTGATCAATCCATCTTTTTGAGTGTTCTGGAAATGCAAGTGAAAAAGTAATTGTTTAGGCCTAATCACTTCAGCTTACATAGAAAAATATTGAGGAAATTGTGTAAACTTTAGTTGTTGCTGACTTGCAGCTGTGCTGCTCAGCATAGCGAATCCTTTAGAATTTCCAAAGCCCTAAGACTACAGGAAAGGCGAAACATGAAAGACCAAGAATCACCATTGAGTAACACAAAGAAGAGTTTGGCATCTGATTCTTATTTACAGGATTCCTAGTGTTTGTTTCATTTCTTTCTTATTTACAGTCGAGTATAGTTGATGCAAAGTAGAATCATAATTTCTTTGGTTTTCTCATGGTTGCCTCACTACTCAAATTTTGTATATTGTATAGTAGATTCCTTTCCTACATACTGTAGGAGCTTAGTCCACCAAAATGAAGCCAATTTGTTTGTACTGTTGGGTAGTGTGGATCCTAAACAATAACTCCTCAACCGAGTAAGGGTATTTTTGATATTTCACAGTTTTGCCATGTTTTTCGAATACTCTGTATTTATAGTTGAAATGCCACATCCCTTTGTATTGTATTGTAACTCAATTCAGATCATATAACAACTGCAGTGACCATGGACATAGCCCTTTTTGGGGTGAACCACGTAAATTTTTGTCTTCTTGTGTGCTGGTTTTAGATTCGTGTTTATTCTTGTTTGTGTTTTGTATCTCATGGATCGTAATTAGGTGTATTAATTCCTAGCACGTACTTTATGCAACTTCATTCTAGAACTGTTGAGTTTGACACACTAGTGAAACCAAAAATTATACGGTAAAGACTTTGTATTTATATTATGAATAAAGCACTTACAAAAGCTGTGACAATATAACAAGTACACAAGCAACGTACAAAAGACTAGACCACACACACACACTTGACACAATTTCTTATACACTCAATAACATTCACGTGACACACTGACACACTTGCACTCACTTTTCACTTTTGCTGGAAACTCACAGCACTCGTAAACCTTACATCACACACTTTCACTCTCACTTCTTGTCTCACTCGTGCATACATACATAAGGATGACCAATTGCTACATATAGAGATGCTATCCACCGACATACAAAGTCGGTTTGTTACCGACTCACTCACTAGAAGCTTCTTGTATCTTTATTATATATATAGATATATAATTTATATGTAAAGACTTCTAGAAAGAGGAGGAACAATCTAGAGAGGGAAACTAATAGAATATTCTAGAGAGAGAGAGAGGGGGGGAGGGAGAAGAGTTAGTGATGACTCTCAACACTTGCCCTCACTGATTATATAACAATGCCACATTGTTTCAAAAACTCTTCGTGAAGATATATGCAATTTGGTCCTCCACCTTGAAGAGCTTCATCTTTTTCTTTCCCAGTAATAACCTCTTTCTTAGGAAATGATGATGCACTGCCACACACTTTATTCTTTCATGGAACACCAGGACCTTCACCAATTGTAGGATTCTCATCCTCCAATTTAGGTACTAAGTTCCAAGTCTGATTCTGCTTTGGTGAAACCATCATTTCTGTTGTCGTCTTCTTCAAATTGAAACCTTTTGCTATCTCCTCAAATGTTATAGCTCCTTTATACTATCTTTCGTAGCAAAGGTTGCATCAATGCACCTTAGATTGGGTTGACATTGCCTTGCGGATGTTGGTTGTTGCAATTTTATTACTTCTTCAACTAATTCTTTTGTTTGCTCCCCTAGTTTCTCTAGTGAGTGACCTTCTGAATCTTTTAATGTCAAAGATTGATAATTTGCTACAAGAGTCAATTCATCTGTGATAGAGTATGCATCCACTTCTGTGATCACTAGATTGGATTGCTCTTGTACTTCTCATCAAACTCTATCTCCTCTTCTGAGTTTGCTTTAGTGATCACGAACATTGTAGGAGATGCTTCAAAATCCCATTCTTTTTTAAATTCTGTTACTTCTTCTGAGTACCCTGGTTCTACGGCCTCGAACATTGCACACGAAGCTTGGAAATCCCATTCTTCTTCACTCTCATCTTGGTACTCGTTGGATGTTACCATATTACCCTCGATCAAGCTTCTTTTTACATGACAATCGTTTGCGTAGTGGTTGGCTAATCTTGCCGTAGTTAAAGCACTTTATGTTGCATCGTTCGCTCAATCTTCTCTTTCCATGACAATCTTTTGCGTAGTGGCTGGCTAATCTTGCCGCAGTTGAAGCATTCTATGTTGCATCGTCCAAATCCAAAAAGTCTTCGATCATTTTCATTGCTATCATGCCAAACTCCCCCTCGTTGATAACTTCAATCATCCTGTGATTGTTGTTCATCTTCTTCTTTCTTTGGTCTTGTAGAATTTTGCCACCTTCTTCCGTCTCTTTTTTTGGTGTTGAATAATAACTTTTCTTCACTTTCATTCTTCAATGTGAGTGCAGCCATTTGCTTTGCTAGAGTTTATTGATTCGCTAATAGAGTTTACAGCTCGACCAGTGATGGTTAAGTGGACCATCCTCTAATTGCGGCCAAAAGCCCACCATACTCGGGTTGTAAACCTGGAGTAATAATGCATCTCATTCTAGACTCGCTAATATTTTACTCAGGATCAAGTTGTGAAATTTCATTGCAAATAGCCTTTACCTTGAGAAAATATTGGCTGATTGTTATTGATCCTTGTGTAACTGTCGCAAGCTCGTTTTGTAAATACTAGAGTCATGCATCGTTCGTTTTCGAAAATAACACAGCAAACGTGTCCCAAACTGCTTTAGAAGTGGTAAAATCTCAAACATACTCCAATTACTCTTTCTGAACAGTTGTCCTTAATACGAACATTGCTTTTCCTGCCTTAATCAGCCACTTTCTCAAGGCCTCTGCATTTTCTTCCCCCAGTGGGGTAGTATCCTTTCCATCAACAATTTCCCTCAAATCCTGTCCTTGATGATATGCCGCTATGCACATTCACCAATAGTCATGACTATAATAATTTAATTTTTCCACACCTCCCATGATGCTTCCGAAATTTGCCATTGCAACTGTATTCGTAAACTTCAACAATCTCCCATATCAATCGCAATCTTTCCTCATAAGACCAAGCTCTGATACCAAACTGTTGAATTTGACACACTAGTGAACCCAAAAATTGTAGAATAAAGACTTTGTATTTATATTATAAGTAAAGCACTCATACAAAAGCTTTCATAATATTACAAGTACACAAGCAACACACAAAAGACATGACTACACACTTGACACAATTTCTTATACACTTAATAACACCTAGGGCTGAGCATAAAAATCGAAAAAATTGTAAACTGGTTTGGTCCAGACCAAACTACACGGTTTGGTTTGGTTTTCTCAATGCACGGTTTGGTTCTGGTTTTGAAATAGGCAGACCGTACTTCACGGTTCGGTTTGTGGTTTTATAGCTACAAATCTAGTTGGAATTGAACCAGACCATTTAGATTATGTATATAATTTATTACCGAATGTAAATACTAAAATATTTTATTAGTAACAAAAGTATGTAAATTATAACTCTCTACTTTTTTAAGTATATTTTTGTATAGTGATAGAACTAGTTTCAAACAATCATGTAAACAATTCTTAGGTTATGAATAATATTTTGTGATCATATTGTGAATAATGATAATATTTTTAAAATATGCAGTTCCAAACTGAACCGAACCGTAGTTTAGTGGTTCGGTTCGGATTGGTTCCAAGATTTTCATGGATTGGTTTGGTTCCAAATTTGATGGAACCGTAGGTAATGAATTGGTCTTAGTTTACGGCTAAACCGAACCAATCCGAACCATACTCACACCTAATAACACCCACGTGACACACTGACACACTTGCATTGTAACGCCCCCAAAATACATACACTCAAACTCATACAACGAAGGGATGAAGAAGTTGATTTGAAGGAAATAGTAGAATCAAATTTAAGGACGACAAGATCAATTAGATAAATCGTTCTTCGAATATATTCATTTGACATAGAGCATGATTCTACAAACACACATGCAACCTATATTCATAGTTCAACATGACATGAATATATGGCATGTGCACAAGTTCACCAAAAATCACAAAATAAACATAATTGCCTAAAGGCTTACACAAGAGGGCATCCCCTCTATCAAATAAAATGCTCAGCTAATTACAATGTAATTACATCAATAGCCTAAAGCCTTTACGCAAAACGACAAAAAAGAGCATTCTAGCTCATCAATCTGCAATATCAACCTTGTGGTGGTGGCACACCATCCGAACGCACACCATCCGAACTTGAAAAATTGTAAACCACTAGGGATGAACCAAAGTCTAGTAGATAATTCTATACTTAAGAAATATGCCCACAATTAGAAATTAGAATATGATCATAATGCATGTGATATAATATATATATATATATAATTTCAAAGCTTTAACATTTAGAAGATATATTTGCCTATAATGCTATAATAGGAGATAATCGAATCATTTTCATAACCTGAGTTAAGAGTTGTAAGACATCACAGTAATGAATCCCTAGGCTAGTATTTGCCAATGGTCCTAAAATACATGGACCACCAATAACACTCCCACTTTACCAGTTATTAGCTGGAAAGAAAGCGGTACCTACTCCCGCGCAGGTTTCAGGTCTTTCAACGCTGACACTCTCGCCAGCTTAGCTCACCAAACTATACTACCCGGATTTATTACTCAACAATTATCAAAACACAATATACAATAGTTCAAATCTCAATCATGCAATCCTCCACCGATTGCCAACAACAAGAAATATCTCTACTATTCAAATTCTCAAAATGTAAACGATTTCAAATTCGAAATATCTCTACTATTCAAATTCTCAAAATGTAAATGATTTCAAATTCAATTTATTCATATCCACACTTCCAAAAATGGGTTTAATCATCGGTTTTCGTCATCATATTTATGTGTAGAGAATCCAATTCCAATTTTCCAAAATTATCCAATATGAATTAGGGTTCATGCCAAAATGGGGCTTTTCCTCTAAACATGATCCTCACAAGCATTACATTATCCAAATTGAAATTTAAAGAATTATATCGGCATAAGAAATCCCAATTTCATGTCAAGCGAAACCCCTTATGCAAAACATGCTATAATCTTTTCATATAATACCACATATTCACATTAGAGTTCATATTTAGGAAAAGCAAGAAAATCCCTATCTCAATGAAGAGAAGGAAAACCCTAGGATCCCCATAGTTGCCCAAACTTGGATTTTCTTGGATGAGGATGAAGCTCTAGCCTTGCTTTACAACTTTAATAAATGAAGTTTGATGAAATTCCTCCTCTTGGTGGGTGAAATCAAGGATTGAATTTGAATTTTAGAGAGGGAATGTAGAGAGAAGGGAGAGAAATGAAATATATATATATATATATATAGAGAGAGAGAGAGAGAGAAAGGGAAAAGTGAAGAGAGAGAGAATATATCAATCAATAATACATAAAATCTTTCATGAACTTTGATGAAATTCCTCCTCTTGGTGGGTGAAATCAAGGATTGAATTTGAATTTTAGAGAGGGAATGTAGAGAGAAGGGAGAGAAATGAAATATATATATAGAGAGAGAGAGAGAGAAAGGGAAAAGTGAAGAGAGAGAGAGAGAGAGAGTCTCTCAAATTTGAGGAAAAAGGACTAAACAATCTGTGCTGAACACACACTCCCGCACGTGCGGAGCCTCTAGTTGCACGTGCAAATCTGTTTAGCAAATATTGCTCTCTTGCATAATCCACTCGTGCGGAACAAATATTCTGCACGTGCAGACTGACCCAGACAGCTTTTATAGGATACAAGTGTATCTCCCTCTTCTGGAGTTGGAATTTGATTAATTTTGTGTCTAAATTGAATCACCAAAAGTAAGCTTTCCAACAGTTCCAGCATCACATTAAAATTCAAAGTGTGGAGAGAGAAAAGAGCACAAGAGTGAACACTACTCAAAAACAATTATCGAATTTGAGATTTTTGGTCCAATCATGTTAACTCATCGATCAAGGCTCTAAACATCTAGAAGGAGGTCCCAATTATAATAATTAAAATGTCAAATGTAAACCCATCAATTCCAAAAGTCCGAAAACAATACAAGTACAAGGTAATGGGTACCAATTAATATAAACAAGTCGAGTTTAAGACCCGGGACACTACATGTACTACTTTTCACTTTTGCTGGAACCTCACAGCATTCATAAGCCTTACATCACACACTTTCACTCTCACCTTTTGTCTTGCTCATGCATACATACATTAGGATGACCCATCCCTATATATAGAGATGCTATCCACTGACATACAAAGTCGGCTTGTTACTGACTCACTCACTCACTAGAAGCTTCTTGTATCTTCATATTATATATATATATATATAATTTGTGTAGAGATTTCCAGAAAGAGGAGGAACAATCTAGAGAGAGAGGAGAGTTAGTGATGACTCTCAGCAAGAACAACCCTACTCCTGCATAAATTCTAAACGCATTCACATATCTTGTTTTTGGATTCTCAGGTCTTCCTCCTTGTCCTTAGGATTCTGTAATCTTTATTATAGTTAGAATTTTCTAACTTAATTCCAGGATCATTATCATTGAAAGTTGGCCTTTTGTATATTTGACGACTCTACAGGAACTATTATTGAACAAGGCGAGGCTCCGGATTTCTATTTTCAGAAATACCCTGAAGACAATCCTGTCCTTGGATTTTTCACTTGGAGGTGGATTCTCACCCTTGGCTTCGATCATATGTTCTCATCTCCACCGTTCCTCGCAATGTTGGTTCTCCTGGCAGCATCACTCATGGCCTGCACATATACAACACAGATTCCCCTGGTTAAGGTAGCAAGAAGGTCCGGTTTATCTGCAAGCTAATGCCCTTTTGAGCTTCAAGTGATACGGAGAAGCTTTTTGTCAACAGGAACTAAAATTTTAATCTTTATCTGCAGATGGTCTTTCTTACACTCAGCTGAGGTCATCAGCAAGCAAGAATTTGCAGATACTCTGCCCAGAGCATCAGTCAAGGATTTGGGTGTCATTTTGATGGGAGCAGGATATGAGGTGTGTGTTTTAACTCTTTTTCCATTATCCTTTTTCCCCTCTCTCTGTCTTCCACTTTTGATTTGAAGAATAATTGCTGATGAGACCTTTTCAGATTATGTTATCATGTTTGCAGCATTTAATATATTTGTAATAATTCAAGTGTGAAATCTTGTTTATTTCACGGATTAAGCTTGTTAGGAATTTTGTAAGACCTAGCCAGAATCAGTGAAACATGAAAACAAAGAAGAACAAACAAACAGGAATTATAAGTCACACACACACAAGATTTATGTGGTTCATATACACTTCAAAATTAGGGCTATGTCAACAGTTGTGGTTTTACTATGATAAGAAACAATTACAAGTGAGATACATAGTTAGCCACCCCCTCAACTACATATACACATACATATAATTAGGGCTACAGGTCACAAGTGTGAATTTACCAAAATACCCTTATTCCAAAATACATATATTTGGATCCATAGCTGAGTGTTTAGTGTTCAGTACTTATCAGGATCCACACTACCTCAACGCTTACATTTACTAACCCTTATGTTATCTCATTTGTTGAACAACATAATACCAACTTGTGAAGAGATGTCCCTGAAGTGTTTGGCAGCACCTTTTTATGTGGTGTAAGACTGCAATTAGGAAAGAAAGTAATTGAAATGGGCTGATTTGTATTTTATGTAAGATTGGGAGAGTATTGATGTAATTCTAAGTTAAAAGTTAAAATGAAAACTAGGTTTCTGTTGTGAGGTGTCTTCTATTTACTATACGCTCGCCTTTTACGGAGCAGAGGTCCGAAGCCTAAAGCCAAATATTAGGTGGCATATTTTGTTATTTTCAGGTTGTTTTTTTTTTTTTAGGTTTTTTTTTTTTTTTTTTTTTTCGTGTTACAAAAAAAGGAGAGTTGCATTGAGGGGTTGAGAATCTTCTTGTAATCCTTATTGAGTATAGTGAATTTGTTCTCTATCTCATGGGCGTAGACACGCTGCCAAATCATGTATATCTTGTGTTATTGTTTTCTTTGTGTGTATTGTTCTATTATTTACTGTTTTATTGTCTGATTGAAACCATGTTTCTGCACCACAGGATGAAATTGAGTCATTTCAATTTCATGTTGGTCTGTTTGATTGCTGGTCTGCTAACCTGTCAGCTCATCGCTTGGTTGAACATTATTACTTAATTTAACAAGTCACTCTCATTTTCTGTAGGTTTTCTTAAAAGGACCATCTTTATATGCCTTCAAGGGGCTGGCTGGTCGGTTTGCTCCAATCGGCGTGCATTTAGCAATGTTGCTAATAATGGCAGGTGGAACTATGAGTGCTGCTGGGAGCTTCAGAGGTTCGGTCACTGTTCCTCAGGGCCTAAACTTTGTTGTGGGAGACGTGATGGGACCAAGTGGGTTTCTCTCTAATCCATTGGAAACCTTTGATACTGAAGTTCACGTCAACAGATTCTACATGGACTACTACGACAGTGGAGAGGTAAGAAGACATTAACATGAGAAATACTATCTCACTTACCGTTTGGACCAAATCATTCTTTGAATTCTGTTGTTCAATGTGAAAACTGTGGGTCTCAAGGATTGTTAGATATGAGATGCTTCTTCTGCTCTTGATTGCTTCAATGTGCTAAAGATTTATTTTTTGTTTCGCTCACTTGTATTATAGGTTCGGCAGTTTCACACTGACCTCTCGCTATTTGACCTTGAGGGGAAAGAGGTGATGAGGAAAACAATAAGTGTGAATGACCCACTGAGGTTTGGTGGGATCACCATGTACCAGACAGATTGGAGTCTTTCAACTCTGCAAATACTGAAGGATGGTGAAGGGCCTTTCAATTTGGCTATGGCACCTCTCAAACTCAACGGGGACAAGAAGCTTTTCGGGACCTTCCTACCGGTTGGAAATTCTGGTTCTCCGAATGTCAAGGGAATGTATGCATATCTTTTAGTACAGTGTCATCTTTTTAAATGGTTACTTATATATAATCATCTTTTGAAATAAAAATTTTCCAAGTTTTATGGTTACTTATTCTTCTTTTTCCTATATGATTTTGGTAGGTAGAACTAGAGTTTTGCCACCTGAGGAGACAGTAAAATTAATTTATAAGTTTCTTTTACTGCCACACTTGCCTCTACCAATGCTGTTGTAGTTCTAAATTTTTTTTTTTAATATTAAGAAATTAGACGTCTTGCTATTTGGATTTTTATATTGACTCAAGGTTCTAAAAAACAATATAATAAACCTAAAAGAAAAATCTGTTCAAAAAACGAAAATACAAAAAAACCTAAAAGAAAAAATGTATTTGAGCTTTTCTGTTTGATTGTTGGCACTTGTGTTTTTTTTACAGTAGGTGTATTATTGGTTGAAATATAAATTCCTTGCAATGATGTTTCGAACTTAAAATCGGTTCCTGTTGCATAAAATGATGTGAAAAATATCTTTATATGTTTGTTGGGGCCACTTTTCAGAATTTTTTTTGGCAATCTGCCTTTCTTGTAAAATTTAACAGTTTTCTTAGCATGTTTCGTTTCCATTTGAAATTTTAGATCAATGCTTGCTCGTGACCTACAATCAGTTGTTCTCTATGATCAAGAAGGGAAATTTGCTGGAATTCGACGCCCTAACTCTAAACTTCCAATTGACATTGATGGCACTAAAATTGTTATTTTGGATGCAATCGGTAGTACAGGCCTTGACTTGAAGGTGATGAAAGATTAATATCAATCGCAAAACATCGTTGAATAATTACTGCATTTGTTTATTTTTTTTAGTTTTATTTTATTTTTTTTGCTTTTGCTTTTTCATTTTGGTGAAATTAAAGTTTGTTTGGAATCAGACTGACCCAGGTGTGCCGATTGTTTATGCTGGCTTTGGTGCTCTAATGCTCACAACTTGTATCAGTTTTCTGTCTCATTCACAGGTAAAGTTTCTGCTTCTGGGATACAGTTTGGCTGTGGTATGTGTTAAGGTACTTAAAAACTATATACTGACCAGGGTTTTAAATATCGACCAATACGTATTGAGATTTTAGACTTGTGAGTACCGATATTCATTGATATATCAGGCGATACCGTTTGATTTTTGTATCGCTGATTACCGATATGTATGTCGATTCCATTATTTAAAATCATGATACTGATACTTTGTCTAACTCCAAACTATATCTTCAACTGAGTTTATCTTTCTTTTTTTCTTTTTCTTTTTTTTCCGAAGAAAATAAATAAAATGACATTGTTAGAATAGAACTAAAATCTTGACTAATGAAAAGAAGTTTAAAATGTTGTTAACTAAAAAGCAAGATCACTTTTAAGAAAGTAGTGTGTCTATGTGACCGTGTCAGACACCGATACTCACTAGATATGTCCACCACGTGTTGGACACATGTCCGAATATGTCTTATTTAAAAAAAAAAAAAAAAATTAGATCCCAACACACTTAAGACACTTGGGAGATACACATACCAGTCACTTATACAAGTTCAAATAAAATGATTTAGGATCCAATGACAAAAGAAAAATAATGTAAATTTATACCTATTGATCTTTCCTCCTTTAAACTTCAGAAATTATTATTATGTGGTATTTTTTATTATCTTTGAATGAAGTATTTATATAAATGACATATAATAAATACGTAAAACTATATATTTTGAACTTGTGCCTCGCATGTCGTGCTCTGCATTTTAAAAAAAATTATTCTGTCGGCGTGTTGTGTGTCCGTGGTTCTTAGGTTGTTGTAAATGCCATTGTGCAAATGATGTGTATGATTTGTCATTTCCTTGTGTTTATCCTTATCTCCCTTTCCTTCTCTGTTCAACTGAAAGATTTGGGCGTTACAAGACGGAACAGCAGTTATTGTGGGTGGAAAGACAAACCGAGCCAAGGCTGAATTTCCAGATGACATGAACCATTTGCTCGATCAGGTTCCAGAGATAGTCGAATCGTCTTCTACCGGCCAATCCAATAGCTCTAGCGGCTAGCTTAATGGCTTCAAGTGGTATATTAGCTGCAAATTTGACTTCATGCAAGAACAGGATGTCATTTTAATTTTGTTCGACTCTCACAAGTTCAGACGCATTGAAATGGAAAAAGAAAGAGCAGCACAAGTGGTAAGCTAGCTACTAGTTTGAGATTTGGACGAAGAAAAAGTGCAATTTCGTAAATTTAGAAGATCAGTCAAAATTGTTTTTGCAGATTTTATATTCATTGGCATTGTGAGCATTTTTTGTGCCATGGCTTAGGGGCCACGGGACTTTAAACCTCGAGACTGTATGTCAACATACTCCATTTCTTCTTCTTCTTCTTCTTCGGCTCTTTTTTTCCTTGCATTATTTTGTGGTTTCAAATTGTTGTACTGGACAATTGTGTTGAACTTCATTTATAATAATTTTACTTTGGTAATGTGAGTTGATGTTTGTGGTTTCTTTCCAATTGCTGGTCTTTATTCATCAATAATGTTCCTTTCTAGTTGATGAGAAGGTTCATGTTGTTCCTGAAAATTATGAAATACAATTTGTGAGACACAAGTAATTTACCATATTGAATGAAAATCAATAAATAAAAGAATTAGATTTCTGTATTCAGATTTTTTGGTAACGAGAAAAACAAGAAAATGTCATGAGAAATTAATTATACAAACATAAAGACCTTGGCAATTGTCAGCATGGCCTTGTCACTTCTAAATTATTTATACACTTTTGTGGGTGTTTGGAAAGCGACTATTTTTTAGGCTTTTTGATTATTTTAATAGGTTATCTTAGTTTGTGTTTGGGAAGTTGGGTTAAATTTTTCGGTTGGTTATTGTATTGAAAAATATGTTTGAAATGATGTTTGAGGTTGAAATGATAAATTTGCCCCTAATTTTATTTTTTCCAAAATTGATTGACGAGCAAAATAGTTATTTAACTGCTTGTGGGACGGTAATGGTAGCCTCAGCCTGCAATGTATTGGTCAGAGTGTAGGCCGTCCGTGCAATGACAGCCACAGTTTTTTTTTTTTTAAAATCAATGGGTTAGTGTACCATTTGAGGCTGAAAGGCTTTTATGTGTGTGTGTGTGTTTTGAGGCTATTTTAGGCTAAAATATGGGTTCCCAAACAAGGCCTTTATATTAGCCACCATTCATGAGCTTTGCGTGCAGCATCCCACTAGTATTTTCAAGATTTGAAAGGTTCATTTTGTAGGGTAAATTAAGAAGATTACATCATATTCTTGTGTTAATTTTTTTGAAGATAAATATTATGCAATTATTAATATTTGATCAATCTAACTTTTCAGAATAATACATGCCCATATAAAATGAATGATTAGAATAGATAGACTGGAATGGGGACAATAGGTCCCTTCTCAAATTCTTGCTTGGATAAGAAAATTTTGGAAATTCACTTTCTCCACACAAATTAATACTCTCATGTCTTAATCAAACTTGTATACTTGTTAATGATGTTCCTTTTGATGCTGAATTTCAGGATTACAAAATTATAGTGGATGAATCTTGGCGACACGAAGATGGACAAGCAGGATGGGCTTGGATTTGCTACAATGGGAGAAATGATCCAATAGCATAAGTCTTGCAGAATGTATTTGCCATCAGCTTTTGCAGCGGAGGCCATAGCATGCGAACAAGCTATGCTGTGGCCCAAGGAACAAAAAAATGACAAGCATCTCCATTTGTACTGATTCTCAAGTTCTAATTGATGTGTTATGTCATAGAGTCCAACCTTTCTGGTTCTCTGCCACTATTGTTGAGGATATATGGTTTACATAAATGATTGGCAGCTTTAATGAGCTCAGGATTCTATTTCAACTTCAAATATGTTTCAGTATGCTTAATTTAAATTCATAAATTTTAATTTCTATTCTATTCTAATATGAATTTACTAATAAGAATAACACATATTAAACCTTAAAATAAATTTTTTTTTCCTCATGATACACCTTAATCAGTTATTTCTATTCAAATCTATATATCTTCTTTTCCAAGAAATTAAAGTTATTTTTTCTTCTTCTTCTTCTTCCCTCCAAAACTCCAATCTACCTTACCAAAACTCATTATCATCAACAACATCATTGTTTTTTATTATTTTGAAACCCTCTAGAAGAAAGTTTGAACAAAATCAAATAATGGATGAGAATATTAATCAAAATAGTTTTTTGAAGTAACCTATCAAAAAGGAGGTAAGTATTACAATTTTTTTAGAACACCATCAATTATTTTCTATATCGTTTTTTTGACAAAAATTAAAGGACCCAATAGTTAGATTAACAATAACATATTATTGGAGTTGTTCTTATTTTATCATTTAAATAGTACATTATTTGATAATTACTCTTTCTTGACGCTTATGTGCTTATAAGTTTGGTTTTTACTTTTCTATAAACATTCTTGTGGATAATTTATAATGTAAAAGTTTTTTTCTATGTTGAAAAGTTTTATAATACTTATGTAAAAGTTTGATTTTTTCTGTATTTATACTGCTTATGTGTTTATAAGTTTGGTTTTTTTTTCTGTATTTGAGAATTATTTTCTGTATTGAAAAGTTTTTGAAATAATATAATTTTTTTTAATTTGGTTATTATTTATTATTTGGGTTTACCTTGAGAGTAATTTGGAAAAAATAATAAGGTGTAATGAAAGTAAAATAAAATTTTAAATAATTAAACAAGGTGTACTTAGAAATCATAAGTACTTAATGATTTTTTTGGTGTAAATAGAATCCCCCAATGAGCTCTAATGAGGTAGGCTTTACTGTGACGTGATATTTTAATTTTTTTTTTTTATTTTCTACCACATTATTAATGCGCAATTAGAATTTTTAAATTAAAGAAATGTATCAATTGCTCTACGGTTTAATGGTAAGTTCTTTAACTTTCTTAGTGTGACTAAGGTTTGTAGAACTATGGTTAAGCCAGCTCATGACATGTCTCGGTTTGTAAATGAGTTTTCTACTTTATATATGAGTTGTGTGTTATTTTTCTGCGCACAAAAAATAAAATAAAATTATGAATTAGTAATTTGAATAATTATTTTTTAAAATCATTAACATTATTAGTTTACCTTATTCCAAAGGGACAATTGATGCACAATGATGGCAGAAAAAGTTAATTACTCATTAATGAAAAGTTTTATAATTTTAATAATTAATATTTAAAAAATTTTAAAAATTTATCCATAAATTCCATAAGGGAGAATATTGATTCATTTATGCTGTGTTTGGTTAGGAGATTTGAGAAGAAATTTAGAAAATGAAAGGAAAAATGTGTGTAAAATTATGTGAAATATAGGAATATTTTATTTACATTTCATCTACCTTTTCTTTTTCCATTTTCAAATTCCTCAACCAAACACAGCGTTAGTCCTAAGAGTTTTTATATGAATTAATTAGCCCTTTTTGTTTTGAAAAGTTATATTTATTTGATTGGGTGTCATTTGAGTTTAACTGAATGTCTTTCTGTGATTCATTTTTCTAATTGTCTTATTCGTTTTTGGGATGTGAATGGAAAGGTAAGGTGTGAGAGGTTCTTTTTTGAAAGATTGGTGGCTGAAATATTGGTTGTCGAGCGTTAAAATCTATATTAATATTAGTGTGATCTGCTGGTGTTATATTAAAGTGCTATGTTCGAAAAAAGTATACTAAGGAGGTTTTGTGTGTTACATTGATTGGAGTGTTATGATTGAAAGAAAATATAGCGATCCCGGGTTTTCCCTTTTTGTACAGTATTCCGCACTTAGGTTCCGTCTTGTTGATTGTTGTTTATATCTTGTTTTCGTCCTTCAATACTTTGTATTTGAGTTATAGGATGCGTTGGGCAGGTTTGTTGCAGGTTGGGTGTGATTGGGAGCAAATGATTGCTGCCTAGAATTTTGGTCCTTCGCTCGAGCGAGACTTTTGTCGCTCGAGCGAGCTCTTTGTTTTAGATCCTTCGCTCGAGCCAGGGTTTCTTCGCTCGAGCGAGAGTTGAGTTTTGTGTCTGGTGGCTCGAGCCAAGGTGTCTTCGCTCGAGCGTGCGCGTGCGTCTGCGTCTAGGTTTGGACCTAAGAGTTGCATTTCTTGGCTCGAGCGAGCTTTCCGTCGCTCAAGCAAGCGAGGTGTATGTTTTGAGTTTCTTCGCTCGAGCGAGCATTCTATCGCTCAAGCGTGCTTCTGGGTTGCAGACCTGAAGCTTCGAATTTTTGGCTCCAGCAAGGGTTCTTTGTGTCTATTCGCTCGAGTGACCAATCCTTCGTTTGAGCGAGCCTGTGTTATATCAGTAGACAGCAGCGGGTAAACACTTCACTTTTTCATCTCTTTTGATTTCAAAACCCAAGATTCAACTCTCTCTCTCTCTCTACACTTAACTTCTCTCTAGGGTTTCATCTATTTTTAGTGTGTTTCTACCCTAAGTTCTTTGTAAGAAAGGTAGAGGGTCGCGAGGGCTTTGTTTTAATCTGAACAATAATGGATTTGGAGCACTTTGGTTTTTCCTCATCTACTCCTTTGGGCTTCTAATTTCGAGGTAGGGATACCCTACTCCATCTTATGAGTTTTGTCTTTAATTTTGGCCATTTTGATTAGTTGGTGATGTTGGGTAATTTTGGGAAAAGTTGGGGTTGCTGTGTAATTTATAAAAAAAGGGGTTTTCAAATAATAAACCCATATGCATGTAAGACATTGAGAAATTGAATTATTATTGTATTATTGATGAAAATGAACCTTAGGGTTGATATTGTAAATTAGGGAAAAATACTCTAGTTATGTGATAAATTAATTTGAATAATTAATTTGTGGGAATATGAAATTGAGTTGGAGATTATGAGATTGGAGAATTATAAAGTTGAATGGTGGAGTTGGATAATTTAATCACTCACCAATGAAATTGTTGATATTATATCTGTTGATGCATTTATTATCTGTTTAGAAATAACTGTTTTGGGCTATCGATGGAGGATAGTCTTCATTGTTGTAGACACTGTATGTTGATTAGGGAAAACCGAAACTAATCACATTGAATACGTCATTTAACATGACGGTTGGAATAATACATAAAATATGAGTATTGATTGATCCTTGTATATGATAATTGTTTATATACTTGGAATATGTATATTGTGTGGGAGGAGATAGGGGATGTACTCTATGGTTTGAGGGAAGATGGGGGATGGACTCTCAAACCTGTTTAGGAGGAGATAGGGGATGAACTCAATTGATACAGCAAATATGTGTATCAAATTGAAGTGTTAATACATCAAATATGTGTATTAGTATTAATACAACGAATATGTGTATTATCTGAAGTATGGAAGTGTTTTAATTGTGAGTTGTAAACTCATTTGAATTGTGAACCAAGGAAGTGATTTAATGTGAAATGTAGTCTCATTGAAATGCTTGGCCAGGTTCTGAGCCATATTTATGAAATGATTTGA